CTTCGAGGTCTGTCGTTGCTGATTAGAGCCTTTCAAGTTCCGTGATCAGTGCCAAACCTCCATAGTTTTGTGCTTTGTAGCTGCGCTGAGTTTTTGTTGCTTCACTGAGGTCTGCTGCTGCTTTTGGGTAGTAACGGCTAGTTGGGTGGGTGGTTGAGTCCCTTTTGTAATTGTTTTTGGGCCTTTTGGTCATTGGGCATTTGCCCCTCCTTTTGTACATTTTTTCCTTTCAAATACTTTTTTTTTTTTTTTTTTTTTTTTTTTTTTTTTTTTTTTAACAGTTCGTGTATCGGCCCCACAACACACGCACCCTTTAAGTTAGGAGTGTGGTTCAAAAGTGAGACCTCAAGAATTTACCTCCCAAATCACTGCTAACGTCGTTATGCCTCTGAGAGCTGTTTCCTATTTAATACATTACTTACCAAAGAAAAGGAAAAAAAGTTGACAAAGTTGTTTCATAAAAAAATGTTTAGGAGTTAAGTCACGTGAGAACAAGAGTGGGAGCAAATTCAAAAAGTTGAAAGTGGCAATATCTAAGTCACACAAAATAAGAACGAAATCGAATATCCACAGTGCGTGTGAGCGAAAGGATGTGCATAAGTATATTATTGGTTTTTCAGTGCTACTTGAACCAAATTTTCTGCTAAAAAAAGCAATATCATGAAATATTGAAAAGTTCTGTCATTAAACTAAAAAAAAAGACAGCGAAAGCGTTAACATGAAACTGGCAAAATTTAAATTTAAAGCGAAAGTACGTAACATGATAGTGGCACCTATTTAAAAGAATTGTGCAGAAAGAATGTAATCCAACCTGAACGCTGATGTAAATTAGAAACAAATGAACACGCGTTCAATCATAAAACTAGAAAAATAAAAAATAATACTTCGCATCACAAGAGCCATGATGAGCTCAAGGGCCATAGCAGGTCGAGGCGTGCATCCTTCAAGCACCCACCATGTAGAGTTTAAAATAAAATTTGAAGCCCAGCCCAATATGTGGACCAGGCTTAGTGTTGGCGGAGGCAGGCCAAATTAATGGGCCACATTATATAACAACTTATATATCATTTATTGAATTTGAATATATAATTGATTATTTCCTTTATATTAGAGTATATGATATCAATGACTTCTTCTATAATAATTATTTGAATCGAGACAAATAATTATTAACCAATAAAAAAATAACACTTAGCATCACAAGAGTCATGATGAGCTCAAGGGCCATTAGCAGGTTGAGGCGTGCATCCTTCAAGCACCCACCATGTAGAGTTTAAAATAAAATTTGAAGCCCAGCCCAATATGTGGACCAGGCTTAGTATTGGGCTCACAGGCGGAGGCAGGCCATAATAATGGGCCACATTATATAACTACTTATATATTATTTATTGAATTTGAATTTATAATTGATTATTTCCTTTATATTACTGGTATATGATATCAATGACTTCTTCTACGTCAAACTTATATAATGGAGTTTTGGCTGTAATTCAAGTTGGGGAATGTTAAAATTTTATGGTTTTATAATACAAAGGAAAAAAAAAAAAAAAAAAATAGTATATATAAGACTCAAGGTTAACAACTTTAAATTAAACACAACTTGCAAAAATCAAAATACCAAAAAAAATTAAGTATAAGTAGTTAGAAAGTCAAGTACCCTCAATTGCAAGTTCCTTTTCGAGACAACTCTTTATTCTTCTAACTAATCACTCAAGCAGTTACATGGTGTTCGGATTGGGATCCGAATCCGAATCCGATAAGAATTTTAGTCGATTCGATCCGATAATCGGACGGATATTTTGTAAATCAATTTGAATCCGATTTGTTAATAAACAAATATTCAATCCAATAAAAATGTAATTTTTTTTATAAAAATTAAAAAAGAAAAAGAAAAAGAAATATAAATTAATGCCAAAAGAAAATTAAAAAAACAATGATTATAAGAAAAAGATATAAAATAAAAGATAAGTAAAATATGAAAGGAAAAGAAAAAAATTTATTGAATCTTTGTTAATGAATAAAGAGTACGATATTATTAGTATGTACATTAAGAGATTTATTAATATGTGAATGAGAATACCACACTATTGTATATATAATATTATGAGTTTTTTTTTTTTTTTTTTTTTTTTTTTTTTTTTTTTTTTGTGGATTACCTATAGTATAAATCTGATAGGAGTATTGATATATATATATATGTGTGTGTGTGTGTAAAATTATTGATAAATAATTATTTATATATATAATTTTATTCGGATCGGATTGAATCAGCATAATTCATATCCGATTTGTTAAGTTAACGGATTATTGGATTTGGATCGTAATCGGGTTATCAATTTTTTTTTGTTCAATCCATATCTGACTAATCGGATCAGGATCCGCTCCATTGACAGGTCTAATGTTGACGTGATTGTCATATGGGCACTGTATCACAATTGTTTTTTATAAATAAACAATTCTAAAAAACTTTGAAAATTAACAACTACACTTGTAGTTGGAGAGACTAAAAACCCAATCCTAATGGTTTAGAGTGCTGTTTGACAGGTTGGTTTGGAGGCTTCCCAACTACCGTAGTTTTTACATCGTAGTGCTTGGCACCTGATCATAAAGCCGGGATTGGTTTTTTGGCAACTCTATCTTCTTATGGTAGAATTGAAACAAAAAAAGTTCTATTTGGGCCAATTCAGTCCAAAATGATACGGTGGGAGGGTTAATGGGGGTCAGCCTCCTCTTTGTCAAGTTTAGGTTCTGACTTTCTCTCTGAATCAGAGTATTAGGAAAGCTATTTTGGCAAACTAAAAAATTTGCTAAATGATGCGAAAAAAATAAAAATTGATAAATATATTCATGTCGATGTCATGTCATTTCATCTTTATCTAATCTAAATATATTCGTGTAAGTTGTAACATCATTTTTTATAATTTCTTCTTGAGCTGTTGATGAATAATAATTTGTGATAATTTATAATTGGTTGTTGTATTGTGTTGTTACATTTTTTTTTTTTTTCCCGGAAGGTATTGTGTTGTTACTTGTTGCCTATTAATCATGACCATATGTGACAAAACGTGCGAGAGAGGAAGACCATTAGAGAGAGAATAAAAGAATCTAAGAGCATTTTTATTGCATATATATATATATATATATATATATGACCATCATTTGGTTATGTAGAGAGTCAAATATTTTGGTATGGGATCAAGGACAGACTCAGAAAAATTATGTGAAGAGGATGATAAAAAAAAAAAAATTAATAATGGAAGGATAGTAATATTTTATGAGTATACAATTGAAAAAATAAAATAATAATAGTACATTACTATTTAAAAAAATGAAAAACAAATCAGAGGAAGAAATTACAGAGAGGTCGCTAGAAGTAGCCACCTCTCTAAGCAAGGGCCCAACAAGCAAGCCACACTTTCCCTCTCTCCTCTCTTTCTCCCCCTAAAACAAATTAAATTATATATAGGAAGAGCCAACCCAGTCAGCACCATACCAGCTGGTGCGGGTTGGGCCGGCCACAAATGTGAAGAGCTCAATAAAGAACACCATAACAGAAATGCCATGAAAACAAGATAATTAATGTATAATTGTTGATGAGAGGAGAGAGAGAGTAATGGGAGTTTAATACTTGAATTATCCTCAATAACTTTCTTTTTCACATGATTCTTCGGTATAACTTTATCACATTTACCTTAAAATTTCACCACTTGCAATGGTTAATTACAACAGCTTGAACTTTCTCATTTTGAAATTCAAATATTTAAATGATGAATTTTAACATCTTATGAGTTTCACCGCCGAGAACTTTACTAATTTTGAAATTAAAAATTTTTAATGGTGAATTTGATTATTTTTATAGGTGCGTAAATATTAGGTGAAATTTCAGCATTATAGAGGTGAAATTCACCGTTGAAAGTGGTAAAATGAAGTAAATATGATTATGTTGCACTGCAAAATCCACTGGGAGAATAGTTGGGACAAAATTTTGATTCATTCAGTCTTTGCCTCTTCAGAAGGGGGAAGTGCTGGAATGCTGCAAGCAGTGTTCATTGGGATTGCCTAATCTAGGTGGCTATTAACCCATGTTTCCAAACAAGACCAATAACCTACCTCATCAATTTAGATAATCATTCTCAAATGGATTCTAGTTTAAAAGCATAAATAGCTGATTTCATGAAGCAAACAAGCTAAATTATGTTTTACATTATACCTTTCTTCCTTATCAATTCATTGTATTCATTTCTTCTTCTTTAATTTCCGAATTCAGCTTTTCTTTCTTTACTGTTTCCATCTTTATCTAGACGAAAGTTGAAGCTGATGCAAATAATAGATTCAGTCATGCTTTTTCTTTTCTATTTCAGTAAGCTATATACCTATAAATTGTGGGGTAGTGTAGGGCCCAAAAGTTGATGCTGCAATTAGGATTCATAGACAATTATGCTGTATTCATTTCTTTATTGTTTCCATCTTTATCTTTAAGATGAAACTTGAAGCTGATGCAAATAATAGATTCACTCATGCTTGTTCGGTAAACTATTTCAGTAAGAAATATATTCAGGATTTGATTAGTGTGAAATTGAAGCATTTGAAATTACAAGTAAGAAAAATATTCATCTTAAGAAGTAAAAAGTATCGGGCATATACTTCCAAACTCAATATTTTAGAAAATAATCTGAATAAATAACATGGTTCATCTGTTTAACTTCTTCAAAGACAAGAATAAGTTTTCTCAGGAAAAAATAAAATGGTCTTAACTTTTTTGTTTTCGTTCTCTCTTAAAATCTTTTATTCTAAAATGTCTCCTCAAAGAGAGGTATCCATTCACTGTGAAAAGAAAGTAATCACTTTGATTGACAATAAGAATAGGTTCTTTTGCTTTTTACAGAACACAACATGAAGTGATGAATCAAAGCAAAGCATAATTATATTCCAAGCAAAGCACAATGACTTGTATTTATTGAAATTCATACTGAGATTGGGGAGCCAAGCCATCAAAACCTTCTGTCTTTATTGTTATCTGAGAGAGAGAAAAAAGAGGAGAGAATGGCAGAGAGTGCAGTAAGCTTTCTGATCAACCAGCTGACACCGCTCCTTCTAGAAGAGGCCAAACTTCTGGGAGGAATTAAGGAAGATGTCGAGTGCATCAGAAATGAATTGGAGGAGATGAGAGCTTTCCTGAGGGTTGCTGATGCAAAGGAAGAGCTTGACCCACAACTTCAAGTATGGGTTAAGCAAGTGAGGGAAGTTGCTTATGACACCGAAGATGTCCTTGATGAATTCATCCTTCGCCTTGCTCATCATCACGGGGATGGTTTCTATGGTTTTCTTCGTAAGATTTGTTGTTCTATCAAGAACTTGAAAGCTTGCCATCGAATTGCTTCTGAGATACATAAAATAAAGTCCAGAGTCGAAAATATACATCAAAGATACCGTGATAGATTTAGTATCTCAGAGCATGGATCAAGCTCCACCACTGTCAACAACAACGCATGGTATGATCGTCGAGGTGATGCACTTCTACTGGAAGAGGCTGAGCTTGTTGGCATGGATGGGCCCAAGAAACAGCTGATTGGGTGGCTTCTGGAGGACAGTCCAAGACTCAAAGTCGTTTCGGTGGTGGGGATGGGGGGTATGGGAAAAACCACCCTAGTAAAGAAAGTCTATGATGATATGGAGGCGAAGAATCGTTTCCAATGTCATGCTTGGATCACTGTTTCTCAATCATTTGATCTCAGAGAGCTTCTCAAATACGTAATTCGAAGACTCTTCGATGAAGCCAAGCAAACGGCCCCTCAAAGTTTGGAAACCATGGACAGCAATGACTTGAAAGCACAAATCAAAGATTTCCTCCAACAGAGAAGGTACGTGCTTGTTTTAGATGATGTCTGGCAAATAGATGCATGGAATGCTTTTAAATATGCATTGCCTGACAACAATAATGGCAGCCGAATACTGCTCACGACCCGCATTGTTGATGTAGCTTCTACATCTTGTGTAGAATCTCCTGATCATGTCTATACTATGAAACCATTGTCCCCACGAGAGTCTTGGACTCTGTTTCGTAGGAAGACATTCCAAGGCAACCACTGCCCTCAACATTTAGAGAAAATCTCACAAAGTATCTTAGAAAAGTGTGAGGGCTTGCCACTTGCAATTGTGGCAATTAGTGGTGTTTTGGCTACAAAAGACAAAAGTACAACCCATGAATGGGAATTGTTTCACCTTAGCCTTGGCGCTCAGTTAGAAGGCCACGGCAAACTTGAGAGTGTGAAAAAGATACTCTCTCTGAGTTACTATGATTTGCCTTACTATCTAAAAATATGTTTTTTGTACTTGGGCTTATTCCCTGAGGATTACGAGATTGAGCGCATGAGATTGATTCGACTGTGGATCGCAGAAGGATTTGTGGAAGTGATAGGGCGACTGACAATGGAAGAAGTTGCTGAAGACTATCTCAACGAGCTTATTAATAGAAGCTTGGTCCAAGTGGCAAAGATAGATGATACTGGAAGGCTCAAAGAGTGTCGCATCCATGACCTTTTCCGTGAAGTAATTACTTCAAAGTCAAGAGAACAAAACATTGCAGCCATGGTAAGCAAAGAAAGCACAACGTGGCCGGAAAAAGTTCGGCGCCTGTCAATTCAGTACACCTTGGGGAACTTGCAGCAGACAAATCGTTTTCCTCAACTCCGTTCCTTGCTCATGTTCTCGGTGGAAGAACCTATATCCAAGTCGTTGAATCCTATATTATTCAATGGGGGGGTTAGGTTGTTAAGGGTTTTGGACCTGAGGGGTGCTTCTTTGAAGATACTTCCAAAATCCATAGGTAAACTATTTCATCTCAGGTATTTAAGCTTGAGGAGAACAGAGGTTAAGATGCTTCCAAAATCCATAGGTAAGCTTGAAAACCTTGAAACTTTGGATCTCAAATACAGCAATGTAACTGAGTTGCCTGTTCAGATTCTAAAGCTCCAGCGTCTTCGTCATCTCTTGGTGTACTGCTACGGTTTGATGAAAATATATGGCTTTAAAGCAATAGTGGGAATAGAAGGTTTGTCTTCCTTACAACAACTCTATTTAATTGAAGCGAGCAATGAGAATGGTAGAATTGTAATGGGAGAGCTAGGGAGACTGACCCAGTTGAGGAGATTGGGGATTACGGAGTTGAGAAGGGAGGATGGGAAGGCTTTGTGCTCCTCTCTTGAAAAGCTGAGTAACCTTCAATCATTGGACATAAGTTCTGTAGAACGGATGGAGGGGATTGTTGATATTCAACAATTGTCTTCTCCTCCTGGGTCTCTTCAACGGCTCTATTTGAGGGGACGTTTAGAAAATTTGCCGCATTGGATAACTTCTCTTCATAACCTGGTGAGACTGCAGCTTCGGTTTAGCAAGTTAAGGGATGATCCATTGCAATCCCTTCAAGATTTGCCCAATCTGATAGATATTGGACTTGTTGAAGCTTACCAAGGGGAGGAACTGTGTATCAAAGCGACAGGGTTTCAGAAGCTTAAGAGATTACAGCTTTGGGGTTTAGAAGGATTGAGGTGGGTGAGAATGGAGAAGGGATCATTGCCTCATCTTGAAAAGCTGATTATTTGGAACTGTAGCTTGGTGGAAGAGGTACCCACTGGCATTCAACATCTAACCAACCTTAAATCCCTTGATCTGTCAGATAAATTGAAAATGACACTGGATCCACACAAACAGGGTGGGGATTATTGGAAAATAGCACACATCCCCAATATTCACATTTCTTGAACTTTCCTGGATAGTCGTTGGGAAGGAGATTATGGAGAGGGAGAGAGAGATGGAGAAGAGTCCTTACAAAGTTGAGATGATTAGTACTGATCAGGTCACCTAATATTTGCTTTTATTTTATTTTTATAGGATAACTGATTTGTTTTTTCTTTATTTATTTTTTTTCCCTTTTTAATATATTATGTCATTTTATTGTTATAGGATAACTGATTCGGGGTATTCCTGGAAGGTAGTTGGGAAGGAAATTATATAGAGAGAGAAATGGAGATGAGTCCTTGCAAAGTTGTTGTTAAGATCATCACTATCTAATGTTTTGTTTTTATTTTATTTTTATGGATAACTGATGTTGTTCTTCTTTTCCCCTTTTAAGTGATTTAAGTTGTTGTATATTGTGTTACATTATACAATTTATTGTGTTTGGAGGAGCCCTTCAAGGAGTAGTACAAGCAACAGCATTTCATTTATTGTGTTTTTGGAAAATGCAAAGTTGTTGTTGAGATCATCACCTACTGTTCTGAGTTTATATTTATTCATTGTTAATTTTTATGTAATGCATTTCATTTTATAGAGACAATGTATAAAAAAAGTCAAATCCAAGAACTTGGATTCCAACAACACTAATAAGGTTGTCCAATTGTGTAATCTGGATAAATAAAATGTTGAACAATATAATTATATAATAGAAGGTTCCAGTTTTTGTCTTTGTTGTTTACTATTTAAGGTAAGGCAGTGTTTGGAGGAGCCCTTCAAGGAGTAGGCACTTTTTTGATACCAAACAAGCAACGTTGGAGTACATGGAGCGATTGAATAGTCAAGTTCAAAAACTATTGAAAATTAATTCAAAATTCAAACAATCATAACTTTCAGTTCGGGTGGAGTTCACATGACCCATAAGATACCACGAAAAGCTTGAGACAAGTTCTACAATTTTTGCCAGCCTCATTTACAATATTATAGTTGTTTTCAAACTCGAAATTAAGTCGTTTCAACCTCATAACTAGTGATATGGCAACTTTTTGGCTGATGATATAACAACTTAACTTTGTGTATTTTGAATGCAATTTTGTCAGGCGAATACATGGTAGGTTTGAGAGAAAAAATAGGATAAAATTATTTATGATAAAATTTCAACCCTAACATAACACTTTTGATAAACGTTTTAGGGGTTAACTCTTTTTCTTCAATAAAAACCTAAATTTCTCGATCAATTTTTATGTGTGAATAATTAAATAAATACATAATCCACTTAAAGTTTTTTAAAACTATATTTCGAGTCCTCTTTCTTTTGAATAAGAATCTTAATGTCCTCAACGATCTACATGCGTGAATAATTTGATAAATTGATCAATAATCTTCATGTTTATTATAATTATAAAGCCAAGAGTGCATAAGAGTGTGTGTATATATATGTGTGCGTGCGTAAGAGTGTGTATTATGTGTGTGATAAAAGTAGAGAAAAGAAAATTAAAGAGAGAAACTTAATTTAATGTTCGTTCTCAATTCCCCTTCAACAAATAATTCATACAACAGAAGCGATAGATCTTCCGACTTCAATTGCCGACTACTCCTCCGAATATAACGTGGTTGGGAATGAGTGAAAAAGAAAGAGATGTTTATGGGAATTTTTTTAAGAGTTACAATGGGATCCAACCACGTTATATTCGTAAGAAGAGTCGACAATTAACGTCAGAAGACCTATCATTTTTCTTCATACAAATGTGTATATACATTATTCATCTTTGAACTTATCTGGTTCCTTAATTTAACTATAACTTAAATACGTTAATATTTCCACAAGAAAGAAAAAGTGTAATATCTATTAAAATTAAAGACATATCTGTCTTTCAAATTTGAGATACATACCATAAATTTTCGAGCCGTGTAGCATTGCTCCAAAACATACCAGATTTATATGTAAGAAATCTCAACGAGAAAAAACCACAAAATTAATAATCCATATTAAAGCAGTCTACTCGATTAAATCAAACTTGACATAGACTTATGCTGAAACCACATTGCTAAACTCAAACACAACCAAGCCGAGTTGCTCTAGACCTCAAACTCACTCCCACCATCTTGCAAACGAGTCGCTAACCTAAAAAACAATTGCTTCGCAAACAGCTTACTCTTTGTAGTGATTTAGTAGATAAGTATTAACTGTCAAAAAAAAAAAGAAAAAGTAAACAAGTATCGTCCAGAAAGAAATCTTCCATAAGTATTTAATGTCTATCAAGATGAATTGACACAAAATGATGAAATGTATATCAAGATTGTCCAAACAATGGTTATACCATCATGCATAATTTTGTACCAATCCAGCTGTGTCACATTAGGGTACAAAATTTAATTAAGCTATGTTAGGGAGCACTGCATCAGCATAAAGCGTTTCAAAATTGAAATTAGAGAAATTTTATTGAAAATTTAATTTAAGTTTTCTTTAATTTCAATTACAAAGGAATTAGTGCTTCAAAATGCAACATTATTTTCAACCATCTTTGTCACAAAAACAAGGGGTTACCAAATGCAACATTATTTTCAACCATTCAAGCTTTATAAACTCTAGATTATGTTGGCTCGTGTGATTCATTAGGTTGCCTGAGGAAGGATTGTGATCCCCCAACTAATGGCTGTTTGACCCCAAATTAAATAGACTTGAAAACTCAATTTTGTATATGTGTGTGTGTACACATCTATATTGCAGTTACTATATATTATGTAACTTGAAGCTGCTCATAATAACTTATCCTGTCCAACTTTCTACCCACTAACTGCCAAATTTCTTACTAATTGTCATTTTGGCCTTGAAATTGCTCTAAAAAAAAAAAAAAATGAACTAGATTTAATTGTGTCGGTATTTAATATATATCAGGACACTGTAAGTCCAAAAAGTTGATGATGCACTAAAGGACTAGACTTAAATGGGTTGTACTTAATAAATAAAATTCAAGAACTCAAAAAATATAAAATAGTTTTGAGAGAATTATAAAAGACAATTCTATAAAAATGAATAAGGATCACCTCTTATGTTTGGATCTTCTGCTTACACAAAACAATACATTGATTACGCGAACAATATATCAGTTACGAATCAGCAATGTAAAGTTGTTACCTAAGCGATGTGAGTTAATTGTTACATAAGCGATGTAAAATTGTTGACTAAGTTATTGTATTGACAAGATATCCGAAGTTTTACTAATGAATAATGAATGTCATTGTAAAATCAATAAATGCGAAGAAAAAAAAAACGGTCAACCAAAATTTGAAATTCAGAGCAGATTTCATTTAAACGTCTTGTCAAGATTTTCTAGAGCAATGCCCATTTTGCGGCTTTGAGCTGGAATCAACCTAAATAATCACCACATACAATCCGGTTGTACCAAAATCTGAAATTCCATCTGGAAAGTCTGGCAATTGAATTCTATTTTTTATCTATTCTTCTCTGGGAGAAATTAAGAAGATAAGAGAAAATGGCTGAGATTGCACTAACTTTTCTGTTCGACCAGCTGACAATCTTCTTTCGAGAAGAGTCAAAACTCTTGGGAAGAATAAAGGAAGAAGCTGAGTGCATCAGAGATGAATTGGAACGTATGAGGGCGTTCTTGAGAGTAGCTGATGCAATGGAAGAGAGTGACCTTGAACTCCAAGTATGGGTTAAGCAAGTGCGTGAAGTTACCTACGACACTAAAGATGTACTGGACGAATTCATGCTCCGCCTTGCTCGTCATCATGGGGACAGATTCTATGGTGTCCTTCGTAAGCTTTCTCACTCTATTAAATACTTGAAAGCTCACCATCGAATTGTTGGGATTTATATGCCCTGGCATAGCAAATTCCTATCTGGATTATAGTGACTTATGTTCCTGACATATCTGAAATATTTATGATTTATATAATTGGTGAATTCAATGTATTATGTTTCGATTCACTATGAAATTGATAGTGTCCCTGTGATTACAAGAAATATTTATATACATATGTAAGTGATGGGAATCAATGCATAATATATAAATATTAATTATAAATTGTTCATAGTGGGTAATTATGGATGAACTCATCATTAATTAAGACCTGAACTGGATCCGCGTTAGGTTGAGATATATTGCGAGAGCTGTCGTATGCAATTGCTCCCTATCATCGTCATGGCATTTGACTCTTAAGTATGAGAAAATTATAGACTCTTTTATTAATTAATAATTACTTTGATTTGATCGGTGGATTCTTCGGGATCCTTAGACCGACACTTTGGATAGTTATGTGATTAATAGTTAGAGGGTTATATTTTCAATATTTGTATCATTACTACTTGTATTTATTTTGTATTGATTATGGTTGATCACAAAGTAAATTCGAAGGCCTTCGTGTGGTTTTAGACAAAATGATTTATTATATATTTATTTATTAAATTATTATTTTTGTCAAACAAATGTTTTATTGTGATCGAGCCAGAAATAATCAATGGTACCAAAATAAATATATTAATTAAGTAGTCGGATTGATGGCTTTATTTATCCGATAACTAATTATGCATAGAAGGGTCAAAGTGCAATATTGACTTAGATGTTATTTATTATTTAATTGGAATTCAATTAATTTCTTTTAGTGGAGTAGAAATTAATTTATGAATTAATTGAATTGGGTCTATGGACCGGGCCAATTATTAATTCATTGTAGCTAATAAAATAATAGGCCCAATGGATTCTCACTCATAGCCTAACTTGATATTGGAATCATATTAGATTTGAGACATGTAAATTATAGATTGAGAAGGATTCGTTGTTTCCTTTTCTTTACCTTTATGTTGCCTATAAATATACATGGTTTATGTATATTTTGATGGTGATTTTTAGAAGAAGAAAAAAAGGAATAAATTTTCTCTCTTTAAAAAAATTAGGGTTAATGTTCTCATCCAATGGAGGCTCCCACAAGCCTATTTTTCCAAGGTCATTCATGGAGGCTTATGAGTGACTCCTAAAGGCATAACAATTACCAAAAAGATGGAGATCCAAGGAGAAGGCATCTTGCTAAGGGATCTACAATAAGTGAGAACATTCACTTTAGATGAAAGATTTAAAGGTTTACTCAGACCTTTGATGTAAGTATTCAATCCATTAATTGAATGATTCATCATATTTTATTTTTGCATAAAACTTGTCTCTATGTGATGAATCAAGATCTGTGAAAGAAAATCCCTCGAAAAGTTTTTAAAACTTGCACGTTTCCTAACAATGGTATCAGAGCATGGTTTGATTCATTATTAGAGATCATGATTTATGAAAATCATCATTCATGGATCTAAATTTATATATGCATATGTTTATATTATTATATGATCATGATGTATGTATAATTGTGAATGAATGATGATGTATGTTTGGGCCATGGATGAAGTTTATAGGTTAATTGAATGTAATTTTATCTTTGGATGAATGTAATTAAGCCTTTGATTTAGCCGTTTGAAAGTTCAATGATGTAATTTAATTTTTTCCATTGTATTTCAAATTGTAAATATTTTTAAAGCCATGTAATTTTCATCAAAGGATGATATGAAGCT